TTCCTATGGAACTGATAGACCTCATAATTGAAAGCATCACACATCGCTGTATGTGCTGTATTGTTTCTAGAGGCGATCATATTCCATATTGAAGGTACTTTTCCTATAGCAAACTGACACCTTCGATTTGTTCATTTTACAGATGTGCTAATTTCTATACTACCATATTTGTCTGATAATTTCTTTTTATGTTATTTGATACCTTACTGTGTGTTGTATATCGTGAGTAAGTTTCATTAAATTCTACATGTAACTTTTTTAGTAATCGTGATTTTTTCTGATTTTTCCTTTATTTATGATAACCAGTGTATTTTCTGTCCTTTTCTGTGAATAAATAAAAGAAAGAAGTAAAGCATAAATTTGTTTATTGATGTTGACACTTTAAAAAATTTTGTACAATATCTTTGAGTTTCTGCTTTAATTCTTTATTTTAAATCAGATTTATTGTTTTACACTTTTTAAATTTATAAACCAAGAAAGTCTCTCACCAGTGGTTAAGACTGCTGAATACTGGTGGTTTTAATCCTGGACGGTTATTCTATGCTACGAGAGTCGACAGCAAGTTGTGGGGGCCCAGATGTCGCTGCTAGTGAAAAACAGGTCTGCCCGACATCCTATATTCTCTGAGTACGGAAGTTATTGAAAGCGTGCGAAAAAGTGTTGCCGCGTCGTCAGTCAGGGTTGTGCAGTTGACAGACTAAGTAGACAGTGGCTTTGTATGTGTTTTCGCCGCTGATTTTTTCATAGTTAAACGAAGAATACGGTCGTAGATCTCTGAATCGGTGGCGAATTTATAGAAAATATTTTGATGCTTTTGCTCTGCCAGAAGATGTTTTCATTTTGTATTTCAGATTGCCAAAATTTACAGTTATTTTAATTTGTGATGAACTGAGAGAGTATTTGGAGACACATTCATAAACAAGCTGGTGGGCTGTTTATGGCTGGTGGGCTTATTAGCAGAATTATACTACATTATTATTGTATTATGCTATAAAGTAACAATGTTATAAGACTGAAGTTTGTTCATGGAGAAGTACTTTTGTAATCTATTAGTATTAAAAAAATCATTGTTTCTTTGCAAACTTAAAAAAAAAAAAAAAAATACTTTTCATAGCAGAGTTCTCATTTTTATATTGTAAAAGAGATATTGATTATTATTAGTTTTCTATTTTATTTGTCAAAATGCTGGTTTAACAAGAACTTCAACTGCAGGAGACCAACATTGATTATTTTTACTTTAGTACTTGCATTGTGAAAATAATATTACTATCTTTTAATTATTTTCACAGAATAAAAGGAAGAGTATTTAAAATAAGCAATTCTTATATATATAAGAAATTAAAATAACAGCAATGTAATATTAATAAAAAGTATTAGTATTTGTGTGACAAAAATTGCAATACGAATTAATCACACATACAGGATAGATTAGTATAATTTTGGTTATATATTTTATATTGAAAAAATAGTTTCTTTCATGTTAATTATAGAATAAATTATTTTAAAAGAAAAAATTTTGATGCTTATGTGATAGCTGAATGCATGCAGCAACAATTGGCCATACTGTAATAGTGAAATAATTTATTTCTTTTCCTGAAAGAAATAATTTTCATAGAAAGAAAAAAAAAAAAATTAAAAAAGAAGAAGAATTTCTAATATCTTCAAGAAAATTTTTCTAATAAACTGTAAAAAAAAGAAAAAAAACAGTTTTAATGTACATAAAATAAATAAAATAAATAATAAATAAATAAATAAAAATAAAAAAAAAAAAAAAAAAAAAAAAAGTACTTTGCTATTATATTGTAATGCAAATTAATCATATTATAAATTTAAATGATTAAAGTTGTTTATTTCTAAAAAGATATGAAGTAAGCTTAATTCATTTACTCTTATCTATTTACCATTGCTTTCATGGTATCCCAGATCACTCTTTATTTTTTAGCCCTAAATTCCTGCATTAACTTTCCCCTTAAAAAACGGGATTTTCCTTCACGTAACACAGCAGCATATTCTGCTGCATATTGGTCATAATACTGTTTTGTGCCATTTTTTTCAAACTGCGAATGCAGCGTGTGAGTTAGTGAAATAATGGGAGAATATTCCTAGAACTTCAGCCAGTGCGTGCTATAAATTTCATCACTTGTCTGTACTGCAGTTGGTCTAAAGTTCCTTGAAGCCTTGTCCCCTTTCAGTAAAGTCAAATGGACCCACTCACCCACCAACTGAGGACCACAGAATGGCTTTCCCCGATAAGTTGTGTTGGCTGTCCATGCCATTTTTTTTTTAGTCAGTATTGTTTGCTGAAGTTGTAGACGGATCCAGTGATCATAGAATAGGCGTCTTGGTTTGAGCTCAAGTGAACGGACTAATTACTTTGTTGGTTTCACCTCCCATGTAATATGAATGTTAGCCACTTTCTTTTAGAAAGTCCTTTTCAAAGGCTTCCTTCCCCTTAAACAGATACCTTTTATGACCTCCGTGGGCTTTGCCAATTTGAATAACTAAACCTAACCAAAAGTAGGAGAGTACTCATCTTCTTGAAATGTAATAATTGCAGCTCTGAATGTACTTAGTTGATAAGCAAATTTTAAAAACAAGTTTCAAAAACAGTTTTTTATATTTTTAAATTTGTCTTATAACAGAGAAAAAATATTAAAATGCAAACTTTAGCATTAAATTATAGAAATTCCGCCTGAAATAAACTGAATTAGGATATAACTGTTTAAATTGTATGTATAATATCCACGTTATAGATTACATTTTTGGAGCATGCTCTGCAGAGAACTTATTATTGTAGTGTTTATAATATATTTTATTATTAAATTGATTTTTCCTGTTTAATAAATTTTTTCGACTGTTAAATATTAATTTTTTAATGTAAATAATAAATAGTTTAATCATATTTTCTGTAATATAAATTATTTAAAATTAACTTTTCATTTTGTATATATTCAGGTGCTCAATTTTGTCCGTGTGTCCTTACAAGCTAGAAAGGTCAATTTGTTTGCTATTGACAGACATGCTGGTGATATGAGAGAATTTGAATTTGATGTTGATGGCAGTCTTAGGGAATTTACTATTTCTGTTGCTGGAGAAAATCCTGTCGTAACTATTATCAATTCAAAAGGTAATTAAAATATTAATGGGATGCCAATTGTCAAATGTGTGCCAAAGCACTAGTAGCCCATTTATGCCATATTTAATGTGTGCAATGCCAAGGTTGTGTGTGATGCTGAATATGCACAGTTCTCTGATACTTTGCGAAGTCAAAACATCATATGTTAGGATTGCTGCTATCTAGTTAGATTTCATGCCAATGTTTATGTTTGACACTAATGGCACATCTACATGAGAAGACATATTTCTGAACAAGTCTCTCTCACACACATGTCCCCTGATAGCATATTTTGTACACTAGGAGATTTGTGTACCTTAAGTTGCTGTGAGCTTCTTAGCCAATCAGAGCATTCAAGACGGATGACAGGATATGTATCTAATAGGAGACTTCCATCAAACTTGCAAAAACATAACAGTTTGTGAAAGTTTCCAGTGCTGAATTTTTTAAATAAGGTGTAATGATAATAATGGTAATAATAGCAGACAGAAAGTAACAGTGATCAAAATTGGCAACAAAAATACAAAATGTGAAAAATAAATTAAAATTGTAAATTAAAAGAAACTGTGAAATATAATAATGTAATCTACATATGCAGGCACACAAACAAATATCCCAAATATAAATATATAAGAATGTAACAGGTATATATGTATATATATATATATGTAAAGGCACACATACACAGACAAATATCACAAATATATATGTGTATATATATATACATTACATTTCACAATTAATTGCTTTAATAAATATAATGCTGATAAAATATTCAGTAGAAAATAACTCAGCTAAATTCTAACTCCCTTAGCCCATAAGTTGAAAAATCATTAACAACCAAAAAATCAAATTCAATCAGATGATAAATTGAGCTTTTTTGTTTGTCAGACTAATAATATAGTAATCCCTTTAAACAGGAAAAAATATTCCAATGGATTCAAATAATGCTAACAAGTGAGGTTAAAAAAACCTTTTGCTTTATAGCTTATAATAGCAAATTACTTGTATCAAGGTGAAAACATATTCTGTACATAAGAAATCAGTTGAAAATTATGATCCGAAAGAAATATTGCATGATAAATCTAGTTAAAGTAATAATAGAAACTCCAAATGATTCACGCCATATGTTAATTCAGTCTAAATGGTAGAAGTAACCTTCATTTCTTTTCGGGAATGATTTCCATATACAGTTTCATTAGCAATCGCCAAACATGTCTCCGGTGACAAACATGTGCATTGATTGTGACTCCCAGTTCAGCACTGTAGACATGTATCTAATATGCACTGGAGGTATGTTTCCCTGTGTTCACAGATTGTCATCTGCATTGCAGACATCCAGAGGTGCTTGTTCGGAGTTAGGTCTCTTCGTGTAGACCGGTCTTAAGTAGTGCCCTGTTAATAGAAAAATACCGCTGTTTATTTAAAAATAAAAACTATTGCTGTCATTGAATTCGTGGAAAAATGTTATTTTTTTTTAATATATGCAATTATTAATTTAAGATAAATTAAATGGTTGAAGTTTGCTGAATAAAACTTTTTTTGCTTTCATGACTGCTAAGGTTTTAAAATTAAATAAATTATGCTTTACAGTGTGTGTTAACACACAGTGCTAAAGTACTAGGGCATTCAAATATAAATTATCCAGGCTGTTGAATTTTTGGTGCAGTCATACCTGGACATAATAAGTGATTTTTATTCCACTAGTCCCATGTTATCTACAATGCAGTCATGTGCAAAATGGACAAGTAAATATGGAATGTTACGATCATATTTACTTGTTCCTTGTTAAAACAAAAGATTATCCTTAAGTTTCTGCTAATAACTCGGGGGTTCACAGACAACATGAAGAATAATATAAATAATATATTATAGTATTCCTAAATCTTCCTATCAAAATCTATAATACCTGTTATACAGGGTGATTATAATTAAAGTTAAGTTTCAAAACGCTATAAAAAAAGAACCACTCATGGAAATGACGTCAATTGAAAGGAATGTTATTGAAAAGGCGGAAGCGTATGCAGAAAAAAAAATTTAGTTTCAAAAGTTAGCAACAGATGGCACTGCAAGCGGAAAGAAGACGTAAATTAAAATTTTAGTTAAATTTCAGTGTTATAAAGCCGCCAGGTACCAGGCTGTTCCTCATTCGCGTCTCAACGTTCGCCATGGGTGTTCACTGCAGGATCGCGTCTGCTGGTAAAGCTGATTACAAGAATGATGATTGTGCAAGAGTAGCTCTGCAAAAATTCAGGACACTGAAGGGTAAAAGAAGCGTTGGTCCAATGAGTGTCGTAGGTCTAAAGAAAATGACGCAAAAATTCGAAACGACAGGTTCGTTTTGATGTGCAATATGGTAGAGGGAGAAAACGAGTGCATTCGACGGTAGTTGAAGAAGTGGCCGCAGCATTACAAGAAGGGGTCGGCCGGTGGTGTGCAACCGTGCAGTGCACGAGAAATTGCCTGACATTGGACAGGCCTACGAGCGCGGTGCTTAAAATGTACGCACATCCTGCAATGCTATCCGTACAAAATTGGCCATGTGCAGGAGTTGCTTCGTCGACTTGACGCTAGGGAGACATTTGCGTAGAATTCCTGGCTCGCATGGAAGTGGATAATGAATGGCCGTGGAAAATTGGTGTGACAGATGAAGCCCATTTCCATCTGATAGGATACAGAATTGTCGAATATGGGCAACAGAAAATCCACTGGCAACGCACCCGTACCACTTCATCCCAAAAGGTCACGGTATGGTGTGGCTTTACGGCATCATTCATCCTACAACCATTTTTTCGAGCAGACGGTGCTTCCGGTCCTGTTATCGCAACGTCACTGGTCAGAGGTATGCATCAATTTGCGCAACCACGGATTCCAGCTCTGCAACAGCGTAGATGTGTGGATGAAATCATTTTATGCAAGATGGCTCTCCTCCGCACATTGCACTCCCTGAAGCAGCTGCTGAGGCGCCATTTCGGAAATGCTTGAATTATCAGCCGTCATTTCCTACAGCCTGGCCGTCCCGATCGCCTGATCTTACTCCGTGTGATTCTGGCTGAGGGGATATCTGAAGGATGTTGTTTCCGTGCTCCAACTGCAAATTTAGCGGAATTAAGGCACGCATTTCGCAACACATTCTGAACAATCCCCCGGAGACACTGCGATCCGTTGTGGAAATGCTGTTGTCGCTTTTCAACTTGTTTGCACACAACGGTGGACACCATATTGAACATGTTTTGCGCCAGTCTCGCGACAGTTCCGAACTGCTTTGATGATGGTTCTTATGCGGTATGTCGCCGCAAAACTCTTGAAACACGATTTGTTCCTTTCGATGAATATGTACAGTCATGAAAATAAAATTATTCAACATTCTAATTTGTCAATGCGTTTTAATGTGTAACTTCCACCTTAGCCGTTGTTTTATGAATCATTTCTCGTTTCTCGTCGTGATTCTCCCGCTTACAGCGCCATCTGTTGCTAACTTTTAAAACTAAATTTTTTCTTCTGCCATACACTTTCCGCCTTCTTCAATAACATTCCTTTCAATTTTCACATCATTTTCATCAGTGGTTCTTTTTTTATAGCGTTTTGAAACTTAAACTTTAATTATAATCACCCTGTATATATGTGGTTAGGATATGCTGTCCCATAACTGAGTTCAAATTTTCAATGCTGCCCAATATTGAAACAATGATTCATGACTGGATATGTACTTCACTGAACATCTTCTTAGAAGAATTTTCGGAACAGCAGTTGCTTCAGGTAAAGACATGCTTTGCAAAGCACTTCACTAACTAAATTATACCATTCATCTGAGTCATAGTGAAATGCTCTCAATCTGCATTCCTCGAAGCCTGCTTTTTGTGGTCCTCCTAGATTTCTAAAAAAAGACAAAAAAATAAAATTCCTCCCAAAGTTGACATTTTATGAAATTTATTACCTATTATCCTATCTGTGGACTTCCCACTCTAGTAGCAGCAGAATAAAGAGATTTAAACCGATATAAGTGTAGGATAAATCCCAAACATAGAACAGCTATGAAAGAATGGGCAGGCTCATCCATTTTATGTGAATAATCACACTGCTGGCAATTAAAATTGCAACACCATGAATGGAAGCAAATACAAAAAAGATAGTTATTGTACAAAAACAGTATGCCATGAAGCCACAGAGACTCCAGTATGCCATCATGTTGCTCGACCTGCCTGGCTGTGAAAGAGGACCGTATCCCATATTAGACTCATTTTTAGTTCAATATCACAATGTGGATTTTGAACATATTGCAGTATGAGGTTTACTGATAATTATGTGTACGTAAGATGACTTTTGAATGGTACATCTCTTTTTCTGTTATGAATGTATATTCATACCAAATTTCATTTAAATCTGTCCATTAGTTTTTCAGAAATCAATATAAAGTGCAAATTCTCTTAATTTTGTTCATGAGTGTATAATTATTAATTTTAATTAGGTTTTGATAAAAAGATTTAGAACTGCTTTAATGTATTATTTAGATTTGCCTGAAATACTAGTAATATGCATACAGATAAAAAAGGCAATTACCTTTTTATTACATAACAATTTTAATAATTAAGAACAATATTTACAATGATAAGAATTTGATTAGATTTGATTTTTTAATTAAAGGCAACTTTATTTCAGTTTTAGCTGAAAGTATTGTGAATAATAAAAGTTGCTTGAACAGGTGGTGAGAGATATCTCTAAGTATCCATGAAGATTATTATTATAAGTACATTTTATGTGTTTCAACAGCTACAATTATGCGTCTTAGAACTCAGGCCTCTTACACCTTATATGCTTATTTTTCAGTAATATTATACAACTCTGAAGAGGAAAAAAAATGCAGGGGTTAATTTAAATTACAACTACAGAAATAAAAAATGCAACTTCAAAGCATTTTGCCGTAGCTAATAAACAAAATTAAAATTATACATTCTTGAGTACATTTTCTCTTATGTGTAAAAGCTATACAACCTTGGTTTACAAAATACAAATAAAATCTGTTACTTCATTATATGCAACTTCAAATATTATGATGATATATGTACGTGCATTTGTAATAATTCTTATGAAACAAGAGTTATTTCAGTGCAGTGAAATGCAAATTCAAATGCTTTGGGCATATTGTATTTAGACTGCACTTTGCATTTAGATTGCATTTCAGATAGTCACATTTTAGACTGCGCTTTGCATAAGTGAAGACAGTTTTATATTTTAGCTTCATACCATATATAAGTCTTTAACAAGTACAATCTTAAATTAAATATTTTTGAAATTTAATGAAAGAAATGAGGTCAAACAGAGTGTTACAAAGCTTAAAAGATTTGTAATATTTTTGTGGAAGCAAATACCTAATAAAAGTTGTTTATAAATAAAACTGTTACCTTCATTTTGGAATGAATGTTATGCAAAAAATGTTATTATGTCCTGTATTGAAATATATTTTCCTAACCTAATAAACAAAAGATACAGTTTTCCAAAGTGAAAAAAAATTCCAAAGTGAGACTACCAAATTTTGTAGGTCAAAATGATGCATCAACATACAAATACAGTCAAAAGTCGTTAATCCGGACTCGTCGGGACTTCGGCGATTCCGGTTTATCGATTTTTCCGGATAATAGATCATCAGTTTAAATCTCGTAAGATGGCATGCAGAAATTCTAAAATTAAAAAAAAAAACCGTAATTTATGAAATAAAACAGTTATGATCTAAAGGGTATCAAATTTACAAAAAAAAAAAAAAAAAGCTTAATATTTTTTTTTTACGTATTAACATTTCTTTCAATGTAAGTGTTTAAGTTGCTTCGGTTATTTTGATAATACTTCTCTTAATTCTATAAACAGAAATTTTTGTTCAGTTACAAGTTCCGCTGTTTAAGTCCCTAATGCTGTGCGAGAAATACCACACTTGTCATCGAAATTTTTTCGTTGCATAACCTCTCTGTCACCTTTTATGTCTTTATCCATTTTTTGCGCAATTCCACTTTTTGTTTGATGGACATCGAAACATACTTTCGTTTTGTAGATCCTTTGGGAGCTCCAGCATCAGAAATTCTATTTGACATAATCGAAAGTCAAGGTTACTTTTATAAAATTGCTCTTTACAGTCTGAAAAGTAATAATCCGGATCCAGTTCGAAGATTAGGAACAACGCATCATCAACATTAACTGAAATAGATATTAGAAAATTTTAGCTTATACTGTCCATTGAACATTAAACGCGCACGCGAAAACGTATTCTGCACTTGCACACATGCATATCCGCAGTCGTAAAGGTCTTACGCACACGCGTAAACGCCTATGCGCATGTGTCAACGCGGCGCATGCGCAGAAAGTTTTTAGCTTTGAGGTCCGGATTATAGATCATTCCGGATTATGGGTGTCCAAATTAATGACTTTTGACCGTATATTATAATTCATAAAGTTAAAAATTTGTTTTTAAAAGTCAAAAGTAAAACTTGATTTTCAAATGTTACTTACAGTGCTAAAATGTAATATATATTTTCATATTTTAGGGGAAGTTGTTGATCAAAGGAAAGGACTTCTTGATCTCTTAAATCATAAAAATATCAGCATAGTTAATATAAAAGATCCAGAACCTGGCCGATGGAAAATAAGAGTCAATAGTGAAGGTTCTCATACTATTAGAGCTACTGGACTGAGTAATATAGACTTTGTGCATGGATTTTCAAGACAGCCTACTGCTAATTTGAAAGAAACATATCATCGACCTTTAAAAGGTTAAATTTTAATGGTCTCTTTGTTTAAATTGTATTAATTTAAAAATGTATAGAAATTATAAATTATTAAAGTCTGGTAATCTGTTTTGTTCATTATTAATTTAGAATAGCATTTTTCACTATGAATGGTGAAGAATGAACACATGAAACTAAATTATTCATATGAGCTCTTTTTTGATATGGTGACTTTTACTGCAGGTTATGTTAGTTATTACTTTCTTTAAAAATGTAAATGTTATCTATAAATTATAAATACACCAATTTATATGCAAACATGATTTGACAAATTTTCAGTTAAAAATTTATAAGCATTGATTTAAAAAAATGCTTTAACCAAACAAACATTCTCGAATAGCAGTTTCTCATGATGTTCTGTTTCAGTTGTTTTATTCTTTCTATAGGATCACAGATGAATTAGTAATAATAATTCATCTATTTTTCAAATAATTACTTTATATTTTGCTCAAATGAAAAACTATTTATCAAACTATATAAGGTAATCTCAATTCCTTAATTCAGTTTCAATTTGCTTCTATTAAAACCAGTCAACAATGATATAATATAAATGGAAGGTAGGAACTAAAGAAAAGGTTAAATTTTTTGTCTGAAAAAAGAAATGTTTCTTTGCATTGTACAACAGTTTCGAATTCATAATTAGTAAAAACAAATTTTTCTGAATATTGAGCAGGAAAAGTAAAAGCTCTAATGTATATCCATTAATTATGTAAAAAATTTGAAGTTCACATTAATTTACTTCACATGTTTTTTTTATCAAAATATGTTTAATTAGTTTTAAAACAATGTTAATATGGAATTCTGGCTCTGAAAATTTCTTGTTCCATAAATGCAGCTCTTGCTGTCATAAAGTGTGGCCACTCATGATGTATGTTATTACTAAAGTATGTATGTTATTATTAAAGCAGGTTTGGTATAAATCAGAGTGAAGGCTATTAGCATATTTTCATTAGCTGCTTGATTTGAGAGAATTATTTTTAATTATGGAGATTACTTCTTCGTTGTTGTTATTATCAGATACTTTGCAGATATTATTCTTTTAAGAAAGATCCCGAAACATATTGCTTATGAAGTTTATGAACTGAAAGATGTATTTCAGTCATTCTGATGATTCTTTCTATAAACCACATATCCATGAACATAAAAGCATTTATTAAAAGAGTTGTGTATAGCTTTGGTGGCATAGTGATACCAATGTTCCTCTGCAAGTGAAAATCTCATGAGTTTGATTCTTAATTGAAATAAAACTTTGCACAATATCAGAACTATATATCTTAAATAAGTTTAAGTATTGGACATCTGTTATGTGAAACTATATTATGAATAATTTATTTCATGAATCGGAAGGCAAATTAAAGTAGATAGCCATATTATTTTATAATAAAATGTATACCATCACAGAGTTTTTTAGAGTTTCAGTGATGTTTGTATTATCATTGTTTTATAAGTTTATAACAAGTTGCAAACTTTCAGCAAATAAATCTGTGTTAAAGAGGTTTACTCATGTTGTGCTTTATGAAAAGGTGCTCTCAAATTAAATTTAGTTTTAAACTGAGTTGTAAATTCAAGATTATGCTAGTTTCTAGGCACAAGGAAGATGAAATTCAAGAAGATGAAATTAAATGAATATTTTAAATTTAATTATTGTTACAGCTACCTGTTATCTTGTTATTATTCAATTAAAATGTTCCGTTATTATTGGAACAGTGTCAGATTTAAATCTAAATTCTGCAAATCCAAATTCCTATCATCTATAAACTTGCTTGAACCAACTAAAGTTGCTGTGTATTTGCTATTCATTTCACGCCAGAATTAAATTTAAAATATTCATTTCCAGTTGAATTCCATCTCCTTGCCTGGAAACAAATGTGCTGAATTTGTATATACTTGAATTATTCATTCTTCAAGGCATATGATCAGATATAACAAAAAGTCGGTAAGTAGTTAATTAATAAGTTTTAAAAAATAATTCTTAAATCTTTATTTTTTTTTCTTGCTAAAAATATGTCAGTTTAAAGTGTGATCTCTAAACAGTGACAATATATAAAATTGTTAAACAACTTACCTTTTGCATTAATATGTTTGTGTTGAATTTCAATAAAATTTCATCCATCATTAAAAATTCCATTTATTCACCTATCTTGAATACAAACTAACAAATAATAACAGTATTTGTAGTTTAGTATATTGATATAGTTAGTATATTGTGCTTATAATGGAATTCTTATCTTTGTGCTTTCCTGCTGTAATTTTCTTTAATTTGCTGAAAATTTTTAATACTCTATTATGATATATTGTGTTGGCAAGAAAGCAATTTTGGTTTGTACAAATATATCTTATGTTCGTTTTGTTATTCTTCTGTCAATCTTTTAATTTTGCTTGTCTTTTGAAATTTGGAAGCTAACACTTTTATGTTGTTATCAAAACTAATTCTGTGTATTTTCGCTTACAATTTTTAGTTTACGGTCAATTTTAACATGGGGTGCAAAAATAAACATTTTCGTCGCATTTTACTTTTTTATTTTCATAAAGGCAAAAAAGTGGCAGAGGCTCTCAAAGAGATATGTCAAGGTCATAGTGTTGATTGTTTAACAGAATGCTTGTGTCAATTGTTAAAAATTTTGTTTTTGAGGTTATTCATTTTAGAATGATCAATGTTCTGGCTGACCATCTTGATGATGACTAAATTAAAGCCATAATTGAATAATCATATAACTTTGCTAGGAATTCCAAAAAGGTTAAATGTATCACATGCAATAATTCAAAACCGCATAAGATGTCTTGGACTCGTTCAGAATGTCAGTATTTGAATATCAATGAATTGAAAGAAATAAAAGAAATTAACATGATGACTTGATATTTGCAATATGCATTTCAAACATAATGTAACTGACCATTTTTTAAATGAATTATCAACTGATGATAAAAAAATGGTTTGTCTGCTATAACATTAAACAAAAAAGAGCATGGTCTAAGCATGATAAATTGGCAAAAATCATATCAAAAGCTAAATTGTATCAGAAAAAAAATCATGCTATCAGTTTGGTGGGATTGCAAAGGGGATGCATATTTTGAGCTGCTTCTAAGCAACCAAACAATGAACTTGGATGCTTACTGCTGCAACTTAATGAAATTGAAGGAAGCAATCAAAGAGAAAATGCCAGAGTTGGCAAATTACAAATTAATTGTGTTTCACCATGACAGTGTGAGGCCTCACACATCTTTAGCAACATGTATGAAATTACTGGAGCTTGTTTGGGAAGCAGTGTTGCAGCCCCGACCTTGAACCATTGGATTATCATTTATTTCGAAGTTATATCTAAGTATTATTTATCAAGCAAACTTACTAAAATTACTTAGTATCATTACTTTATTTAAGAAGTACTTCTTAAATGATAAAAAATTCAGTAGTAATGATGGCCTCAGATTGCACTTAGTTGAGCATTTTTCTGATAAAGACCAGGAATTTTATAGCACAGAATCATGAATATACCAGAAAGATGGCAAAAGATAATCAAACAGAATGGAAGCTATTTGACTGATTAAAGTTCATTTTTATATGAAAAAATTAAGTTTATTTCATTCTAAAATTGCTTTCTCAGCAACCCAGTATTTTTATAACAAATGAAAATTTGGTCATTGTGGAGATTTCAGTTCAATTTCTATGCCTTAGTATCAGTTTTAATTTTATAAAAGCTTTCAGTTTCTATTTTTCATATAGAAATGTTTATTTTTTACTTAATTATCTATGCATTTTATACTAATATCCTAGCCACTTTCTTCTTTGGGAGAGTCTTCATGTAGTGCAGTGCCTTCAACAGGTACATCTACTGTGCAGTGAAGAACAGCACATTGGCTTGGTTTCACCACACACAATTTTTTGAAAAACATTCTGGCCCTCATACAAGGAGAGGTCAAGTGGCTGCACTTAGGTTGAAGGATTTGCAGGGGTGCTCGAATACACCCCTGCAAGTCCATATATACAGCAATTTTAATTTTCATTGTAATACAGGGTTGTGGAACTGACTCACAGCACATGCTATATCATTTTCACTGCCTCAGTCAGCTCTTTAAGGAACATATTTGATTAAACCACAATAGAGTAAATCTTTGAAAGTCGAAGTGCGAAGTAGCAAGGGATGACTGTATTTGAATTTCACTGCAAATGAAGAAACACCAAATAATTGCATTGATTGCACTTAAAAAGGAAAGAAAAAAAAAAGGAATTTTTAGCAGTAAAATAAGCTTCTGTACCTTGCTTGTATATCCTGTACTTATTGGTATTCAGGACAAAATGTGTTTGAAATAAATTTGATTTCTGGTTGCTTAGAGATTACCGTATTTACACGCGTATCTTCCTCTTTAACTTTTTAGCTCAAGTTTATGCTTGGAGGTAATTTTTCAGTCATTTAAAAAAAATGCAGTGGCTACTAAGACTATAAAGATATTCTAAAACTGAATTCTGTATCAAACAGACATTCTAATAAAGAAAGTATAAAATCAAAATAAGTTTCTGGAAGGTTTTATAGTGATTCATTATTTTGATTAAATTCATACCATCAAAGTTATATTTTTTCCTCCCTTGTTGAGATATTGTCTTCAGAGGATAAAATTGTTTCAACAAAATAACTTATTACTGTCATACATAAAAGATTCCTCCGGGAGACAAAAGTAAGTAAATAGGAACTGTTTTGTTAAAATTTGATTGTGCAGTTTCATTTACTGATTTTAATCTGATTTAATGTGGAATTCATAAAATATTGGTGATGCAGGAATAATAAAATTTATATTAATTATCCTAGAATATACTATTCATTCTTGGCATTTCAAGGTTTATTTATTTATTTATTTATTTATTTATTTTTTTGTTTATGTGACATTATTTCTAATTGTTTAAAACTCGATAGATTTTTTATGCAAATTTGTATTGCCCTTGCAGTTACAAAAGAGAATATTTACATGCTAATTGTCCATTTAAATTACAAGGATTAGGCTACTTTTATAGTCTCAACACAGAAGGTCTCTAAATCTTTGAAAGATTGCAATATTATGTTGTGTTAGGAAATAAAATATGGCATTTTCTGTCCTGATACCATGAAGGAAAAGGATCTGATTTGAACATGAGATAAAGTTTCATGGTGTAGTAGAAAGAAGCTAAATTTAAATGGTCCACTAGGGAAGATTTTTAAGTCTTGTTTGGCTAAATTTCTGTCTTTCTCATTCAAAGATTAAGGAACAACACAATCATCAACATTAACTGAAATAGATAATTGTAGCTTATACCGTCCGTTACACATTAAACGCACACGCGAAAACGTATTCTGCACTTGCTCACACGCATATGCGCAGTCGTAAAGGTCTTATACGCACGCGTAAACACCTATGCGCATGTGTCAATGCGGCGCATGCGCAGAAAGTTTTTAGCTTTGAGGTCCGGATTATGGGTGTCCGAATTAACGACTTTTGACTGTACTGTCTTTTGTTTTGAAGCAAAGGTAAATTATACAAAATTATCTTTTTTACTTTTATCTCAAAGAGGCACATTTTGGTTTATAGATAAAAATTTTATATGAAATGTTCCTGCAATGAATCACATTCAGTTTTATTTTTCAAATTTTGATTTAAATGTCAGTTTCAGTACATGAAATAATTCTGCCTTTTTTTTATTTAGAAAGTTGTATTCAAATCTTTTCTCTAATTTTCATCAGCTGTATAGTTTTTCAATGAAAGAGAAGCTTATTTTTAAATTCTAATTTCAGTGCAAATCTGTGTTACTTGTAATTTTTATTAATTTTCTATTTTTATTTTTAAGTAACTTTCATTATATTGCTTTATTCGGGTTAACACTAATGCTATATGTTTTGAAGAAGCAAATATATTAAATTGTTAATTGTGTAATAACAAATAAAAAGTGAGCAAGAAATTGAGGAGAAAAACCTTCTAGCATTATAAGTGTTTCATTATGTAAAATCTTGTGCTATTTTTTAATGTATGCTCTTAACCACTTGAATATTGTACAGACATTTTCTTTTCCTCCATTTTTGTGATAAAGTATGCAGCATATAATTGTATATGTGAAAAAGATGGACTATAGTTAGATGTTTGATGCTTTATTTTTAGGGGCTCCCACATTTTTACTGGTGAATGCTACAGATCTACCTGATCCAGCTACATTTAAAAATGTCAGAATAGTAGATTTAGAAGGAAACAATTTACAGAATATTCCACTGCATAGATTTCCAGGGTCTAATTTATTTAATGCTTCAACATTCTTTCCACCTAATGAATATTTCTACTTGAAGGTAATTTTTATGCTGGCCATAATCTCTATTCATACAAATTGTAATGTAAAGTGCAAAAAAGCTGCAATTAATTTTTAGAATTAATTAATAAATTCATATTTATGAGCATCTGCAGCATTTTCATAATTAACAAAAAAAATCGAATTCCCTTATTAATATCTTGGGATTTTCAGTTCCCTTTTAATCCATTCAAGTGTTCATGTATGTAGAATTTATATATTTTGTATTGTATTTATGCCAATTTATATTTAAATGATAATTTTTACAAATTGTTTCATCATAACTCTAGTTTACAGGAGATGTTTCTAACACCTTGGTAAAGCTAATCTCAGCATGCAGCTTATTTTCCACCTAGTTCAGACTGAATTATTTGTAAAATTAATTATTTGAAATTTGTTAACAAAGATGGTTGCTAAATCATGCTAATAATATTTCTAACTGTTGTAATTTATAATGAAACGAGTTCAGGTGATTTATAGTATAATTCATTTATATTTTTTTCAGCAGTATTGAAATTAATAGAGATACTGATAATGTTATACATTTAGATTACAATGATTTAGCCATTGCCTTCTTCACTGATGCTTTTATGCTACATTCCTAATATTTCATAATGGCATACAGATAAGTTTAATCATTCACCAAACATGTAAATCTCTAATTCAGCCCACTTTTGTTCTGACGTGTGCTGTATCTTCTATTTTCTTTAATATATTGTTCAGCGTAATTTCAAAAGGTCAAGTGGAAAAGTCACTAAACATTGGTAGTTCGACACGAGTTTCTAATCCCAGAGATCCCCCAGCTCTTTCTTTTTTTTGTACTTATTTACTGTGTAAAAATTTCAATTCATGAAGCAAAAATACTTTTTAAAATTATTCTTTAAAAATATTGCAAAAATTTTAACCTTAGCATATCTTTTTACAAATCCCTCTAATAAGAAAAAATAAGGAAAGAAATTAACTCGGTTTCGGTGATTGATACCTTGGTGCAAATTGTATGTAACCTTTTCCAAAAGCATAAAGTTTATATGGATATCAATAAATTAAAGATTATTTCTCCATCTAATTTTCTTAACATTTTTATTCCAGAATTTTCTTTTCACACTGTAGTGCTTAACTTTATGAGATTTCTATAACCAATCAATTTCTCTAGCTAAAACTTTGCATACCTTCTGACAAGTAGTTATATTTTTAACCACTTTATTTTAATTCCCGTTGACTATCAGTACATTATTCACTAGTTTCACAAGTGCAAATATTTATTTTATATGCAAATCTATGTAAAATAGCAATAAAACTTCAGTTGTGCGGAGCTCCTGATCGATTGCTTGTTTTAGATTAAATGAAATTAAGCTTAATGTTACTATTAATTAGCTTGTTATTAATTTAATTACATATTTCTAATTAATTATATCTTCAGATATTTCCAAGTATATATATTCGACAAACTTTTGCATCGCAATTTTTAATTTTTGATTAAAAAAATAAGCTTTTATTTATTGAGAGGCCTGATTATATTAATTTGCAGTAATGTTTATCTACTTCTTTCTTCTAGATAAATTTTAGAAAAAACTTCTTAGGCATAATATTTAATTTATTGACATTTTATCTTCAGTGTTCAAACGCGTAGTAAGTTGTTATAATAGATTTCATGCTAAGCTTTTTTTTAATTTAACTATTAATTTCTGCAAACTTTTACATGATTACTTTAATTAACAAAAAATATTTCTAGCACACTTTGACTTGAATAATCTTTTGCATGCCAGTAAACTATATTAATTTTTCCAGTCTAGTTCAGACATCTTGACTATTATTGATGTAATTTATAAAAAAGTATAATTGGTATGCTTTATAATTATTTAATTTATGATATTATTATAATACTCTTTCCTCTGATATTGTAATTAATGAAAGATGTTTGTAATGCTAATATTTACCAGTTATTGTTTACCAGTAACTTTTATTTTTTTATTAGCTCTCGTATTAATTACTGTTATTCAAGTAATTAGCCTGCTTATTAGATATTCTTTACTTGTTCTTGTGATTTCAATTCTATTTCTTTATTTTTATTTTCCTCTTGGCTACAATTGGCTTCAAAAAGTTAAATTGTAACCATGTAGGCAGCGGGGGAAGAAATTTTGATTCGTGCAGTTGGACTATAGCAGAACGGGGGGAGGGATTTTCATTCGCGCAGTTGGAATACACCCAATATAGGTATCTAGATATAGGGGAAATATTCCAAAAACTATTAATAAAATAAAAATTAATTTATTGCATAATTTGTTCTAAATTTTTATTATAATTTTATTTTGTTGTAATGTTTTCTGAAGTAAAATCATTGTCAGTGTATCATAGTAAGAAAGATACACATTTCAATGAATTGGTAATATTATTCGTGTAATAAAAGTTTCAGTTTGGAACTATTTTGAGTGAACAACATATGTATGTAAAATTTTACATTGATATTTTTAAAATTATAACATAAACCATATTGGATCTCTTGTTTATGTGCATATATTTTGTTCTATGCTTGAGAATTTCAAATTTAGTGCATTTAAGTTTTAAGCATTGAATTGATTTTAATGTAATGTTGTTTGGTATCTTTCATTATAATACTGAATTATATTTAGTTGTGATATATCTTTAGTGTTTGTAAGTCCACATGTTTTATGCTCATTTTTTCATTCTTTTGTTATATTTATTTTTATTATTGTTATGTTTATTACATAACAAGCACAGATAGTGTGCATTTCAATTATATAATGAAAATTTTCTCACTTATTTAAAGAACAAAGAATGTACGCTGCTGGCCATAAAAATTGCTACACCACAAATGCAGCATGCAACAAACTTGAAATTTTCATGAAAAGTTTGTTCTGGGGTATGCAAATGGTTAACATTCCAGCACATGCACACAAAGTAGGTAAATTTTATTTAAACAGGAAGATTGCACAGTGGATTTCTCATTTAGAAATCACATTTGAATGTTGGTTGTTTGTGTAAAGATCTTGTTTTGTCTCGTGTAAGGCGAAGCTCCCACTAGGCTCGTGTCAGATCTCAACCATGGCAGGACTGGGCGCTATCAAGATTGTTATTTATCATTCTGTGATATTGCTGTTTGTGTTGGTTCAAAATCCCATGATTGCCAGGCAAATGTGGAATTGATGGGTCCAGGAGGGCCATACGAACGCCATGCAGGTTCTCGGCAGTCTGAGCTCGAGAGGACAGGAGAATCCTGGGAGTGGGTACAGCTTAATGGTATCTCATGTGTGCGGGCACCAAGGCGAATGAATGTTGCCAGTTTGCATTTATCATCATACGGGCTCAGCAGCTGTGTTATGCGGTGCCTTTAAGTAAAAAGGCTGGTCACCTCTAATTTGCATAGCTAGTAGTGTAGTTAGCCACTGTTACATTATTGATGTGATTAAGGTCCATTACTGCTTCCTATTTTAGAAGTCTATATGACATCATCTTTCAACAAGATAATGCATGTTCACATGTTGCCTCTGCTGGTGTGAACTTCTTTGATACAGCGGGTGCTCGACTGTTGCCTTGACCAACATGTTCTCTAGATCTATTACCCGATAAGAATACATGTCTTGGGTAGCTGAGAGACTGCACAACACCACTCGTCAATTGCTATCGTTGATGAACTCTGGCATAGAGTTCAAGCTATATGGAATGAAGTACCCATATCTGTCATCCAAGTTCAGTTTGACTGTATGTGCAGCCATATAATTGGCATTGTTGCTGCCAGAGGTAGCAGCTGTGTGCACTGAATTCTGCACATTGTGTACCTCAAACTGCTAGCAAATTTACTCATGTCTTCCTTACAGTGTACTGTGTATGCATAATAAATGAGAATCTGCTATTTGCTTTCATTTAAGATGTCCTGCAATGTATATTTTTTACCCTTAATTACAATGATAACTAAGTTTCATGTAAAATATTCTATATGAAACAATTACTCTGCAGTAAAAGATTTTTTTAAATGATTTCAAATATCACATAGAATATTTTCCCTATCATAATCATGTTTAATTTTAATTTAGAAAGACAGAATCACTTTAATTCAGCTCTTTTAATTTTGTTTAAACAGCTTTAAAACATTTTAATGATCTATCTTCTATAATAATGAAGAGATAAGTTTCATCATTTGTAGATGATGTAATTATATATTAAAGCAAGTTATTTTATAAATCAAGCCAACAAATGTAATGTAAATGTAATTCAACATGAATGTTCTAAATTGTGCAGTATTTGGGGCTTAAAGCTATGATATTTAAGATGAATTCTGTGTTTTCCAAAATTAAAAATTTGTATTTATTTTATTTATTTGTTTCTTAATCAATTTTTTCAACTGTGATTATTTTATTCATTAGGTTGCAGGATCAGATGAACATGGTTATCCAATTGAAAGAATGACATCGACAGCTATAAGTGCACAACTGCCAGGTGGGTAATTTTATTTTATAATGTATCAAATGGTAGTGAAAGCCATGCTAAGTTAAGAATGAATACTGTACGTCATCAAAATAAACTTTCATTTATAAAATTTAGTTACCAATCTGGGTCAAAACTAAGACAAGAAGGACAAATTTTCTTCCAATCACCATTCAAAATGTTTTGCAGAATTTTATTCCAAGATTCTCCAACAATTTTTATGTCATATAAAACACTGAACTGTATCAAAAATCTTTAATCCTTTGATGGTTGCGAGATTAAGCAATTCTTTCTTCCCATATATGTGCGATAACTGTCAGTCTTAAATTTGTAATGGCAGTTTGTTCGTTTCCACCTTCTGCACCGCGTAACTAGAACATGAGCTGAGTTTGTTGATCATCAAAGGGTTAACAGTCAGCTGACTGTTTTGCTTCATAGAGTTATTCAGATGGGCAAATGATTGTCTTATGTAATAAGCTTGCTATGTTTTGGTGACTTTTGGTCCATCAACTGAAGAAAGTTAGTTTTGTCTGGAAGAAGATAGAGAATTTATCATGCATGATCTGAGATCAATTTAAGTGGCAGGAGGATGACCAGTTGCATGATCGATAAGAAGCATCACTTTAAATATAATTTATTTACCTGGAGGGAATGGGAATAAAAAAAAACCTGAGTTTAAAACAAAAACAAAAACAAAAAAAGTTCTTGGAAACTGGATTACTGTATATTAGGATACAAAATCATCAGATTAATAGAAGTCATCATTGTGGAATTAATAGATGTCAATTACTTTAATTTTTGCTTCATTCTTAAAGGAGAACTTTTTACACTCTATTTTTGATCTGCCATTCAAAAATAATTGCTTGAATAGTGTTTGACATTTTAAAATTATTATGGAGTTAATGATAGGTGGCAGTCACTTTATCAAGTTCTTAGCATACTTTGAAACTTCATTCCTTATCAAGATTATCAATGAAGAGTATTTCTTTAGAAACTCATTGTGATTGAAAATTAGCTTTTGGTCCTTTTCTATTAATTTCTTGCTTATTGTCTGGTTTAGTTTCATTTTGAAACTAGGTCATAGAGTTGATCTAGATCACAGAATCTGACAATTTTTTCTCCGAACAGAGAGGAAACATGTTCAATAAAAACAAGAGCCAAAGCATTTCTTTATGTTGATTCTTATTTATTAAAATTACTGCAAGGAAAAAAAAATTAAATACTTATTAACTGATCAAACACTCATGTTAAACAATAAATCATATCATTTCACACAATAAAGTTAATTGATTGTTTAGTTTACTGAAATCATATAAAGGTTTTTATTTTTTTGCTCCTGTGCCTAGTAATAAAAATATTAATTTTTTTTTTGTATACTTAGTGTATAAAAGTATAGGAATAATTACAAAGTCCACATTTTTCAATCTTTTATACCTCTTATTTATTTATTATGATTAGTTCTTTCATGAACTTTGATCGTGTTAGTTCATAAAAGTAATTCTAATTAGGGAATTGATTTTTGAAGGAGGAGAGTTTCTTTAGATGGAGGTAAAGAGATTCAGAATGATGCATGTCTTTTAAAGAAACTGTTATTCCACTTTAAAAGCCTACAGAATTAAGCCTACAGAAAAAGAAGGCTAAATGTTTAATATTTCAGGAATAACAAAAACTTAACAAAAAACTGGGAAATTCATATTGTTGAAAATT